TTTTTGAAGTGATCGACAATTTTTTCGATTTTGCAATTTTCGCCGATTAAGTTTCAAAAATTCCTATAAAATCCATTTCTTGGAATATGAGTATGAAAATTTCCCTAATTGTTCATAAAAGTGTCCTCTTTCCAATAAACCAACCCGTTTTGAAAAATTACTCTTAGTTTTTCAGAAAACAATATTTTAAGTTTGATAAAATTTTCAATGTTGCAATTTTCATCGATAACTTTCAAAATTCGCTATAAAATTCATTTCTTGAAAAATACTTGTGGAAATATCACCAATTATTAATTAAAGTATCCTCTTTTTATCCGGTATCCGACTTTTCGCAAAAGCACTATCTGTTCCATCACTAGCCTATACTATTAAGCTATACAATTGCATTTTATGTGAGACAGTAGTTTCACAATAGTTTCGTAACTATGCTTACTGCTTCATATATTGCGACTTATATGAAATTCCCAGTATAACAAATTAAATAACTAACTTAAAAATAAAGCGTAAGAACTTGAATGACAAATAAATTTCACGAAAGGTTTTTTCATGAACAACCCCATTTTTGAATAAGGCGCAATCATATAAATCGTACAATACATAGGAAACATCACGGCTAATTGTACAACTTGGGCGAGTTGTCCAACTAAACCTTTTCTTCTAAATCCCGGTAATCCCTCATACCAAAGTGAACCTAAAAGTTGTTGGACACTTGCGTGAGCCACAAACATTTTCTGTTTGTATTTGATGGCCAATTTTAATCTATCCAAAGGCATATGATCGCCTGGTTCCCATGGTGGAGTCGAAGTATCGTAATTTAACATCGTTGTTAATTCGCCGGATGACCGAACGTAATCTAAAAGTGATTTAGCAAATTCTTGGACGGAAGCTCTCATTTCCTAAGTAAAAAAAAAAGTTTAAATAAAAAATAATTTAAAACTTATTTATTACATTATATTGCTCGCGAAACTCCGTTTCCAACCTGCTTAAACTTCTCAATTCCCATGATAATTCGAAAGCGGTTAAAACGGGATCTTTCGATGATAAACTGATCAAAGATGAAGCAGTTAGAGCTTTGTAAGCGTTCATTCTCGCTTGGGAATGCCGCAACGAGTCGATTTTTAATGATTCATCACATTCATCACAAGCACATCTATAACAATTTTAAAACGCAAAATAAAAAGATGCGTTATTTATTTTTGATTTTTTACCTTATATCGTGTGGCATTGGTAAAGAAGCCCCTCGATCTAACAAAATCTTGATAATTTCGTAATTATTTTTGTGAGCTGCTAAAATTAATGGTGTTATATCCGGTGTAAAGGTGGCGGCCGATTTATCAACATTTTCCCAACTCTAAACAGATTTTAAAATAAGAGAAATCATAAGACTATAAAATTTTTAAATTTTTAAATATTTTTTTTGATTTAGAGCTTATAAATAAAAAATGGTAATAATTGAGTTCAATCTTTTTATGGATTTAGTCTTTATGGTCCATTACTAAGGTTTTATGTATAAAAAATATTTCCCCATCGCTTTTAGTTTATGAGTTATGATTGAGTTAATTTTCGAAAATCAACAATTTTGATGTTTAATCGATTTAGAGCTTATAAATAAAAAATGGTAATAATTGGGTTCAATCTTGTTATGGATCTAGTCTTTATGGCCCATTACTAAGGTTTTATGTATAAAAAGTATTTCCCCATCGCTTTTAGTTTTTGAGTTATGATTGAGTTAATTTTCGAAAATCAACAATTTTGATGTTTAATCGATTTAGAGCTTATAAATAAAAAATGGTAATAATTGGGTTCAATCTTGTTATGGATCTAGTCTTTATGGCCCATTACTAAGGTTTTATGTATAAAAAGTTTTTCCCCATCGCTTTTAGTTTTTGAGTTATGATTGAGTTAATTTTCGAAAATCAACAATTTTGATGTTTAATCGATTTAGAGCTTATAAATAAAAAATGGTAATAATTGGGTTCAATCTTGTTATGGATCTAGTCTTTATGGCCCATTACTAAGGTTTTATGTATAAAAAGTTTTTCCCCATCGCTTTTAGTTTTTGAGTTATGATTGAGTTAATTTTCGAAAATCAACAATTTTGATGTTTAATCGATTTAGAGCTTATAAATAAAAAATGGTAATAATTGGGTTCAATCTTGTTATGGATCTAGTCTTTATGGCCCATTACTAAGGTTTTATGTATAAAAAGTTTTTCCCCATCGCTTTTAGTTTTTGAGTTATGATTGAGTTAATTTTCGAAAATCAACAATTTTGATGTTTAATCGATTTAGAGCTTATAAATAAAAAATGGTAATAATTGGGTTCAATCTTGTTATGGATCTAGTCTTTATGGCCCATTACTAAGGTTTTATGTATAAAAAGTTTTTCCCCATCGCTTTTAGTTTTTGAGTTATGATTGAGTTAATTTTCGAAAATCAACAATTTTGATGTTTAATCGATTTAGAGCTTATAAATAAAAAATGGTAATAATTGGGTTCAATCTTGTTATGGATCTAGTCTTTATGGCCCATTACTACGGTTTTATGTATAAAAAGTTTTTCTCCATCGCTTTTAGTTTTTGAGTTATGATTGAGTTAATTTTCGAAAATCAACAATTTTGATGTTTAATCGGTTTGGAGCTTGTAATAAAAAAATGGTAATAATTGGGTTCAATCTTTTTATGGATCTAGTCTTTATGGTCCATTACTAAGGTTTTATGTATAAAAAGTATTTCTCAGTGATAAATTCTTTAATGCAAATCATCCTCAATGGAGCTTTGGCGATTTTCGCTCTATTCTTCAAAGATAATAATAGTTAGGTTAGAAATTGTTATGGATTATGCTTCCTTGGTTCAAAACGGAATATTTTCGCAAATATAATGATACTCTATCATTCATATTTTTTTAGTAATGATAGATTATTTAATATAAACCATGGAAAATGAAAATTTTCGCAAGTACAACTTTATTCTTAGAAAATGGTGATTACTAGCTAACTAAATATGATCTTCCTTGATTCAACACAAATAATTTTCACACACATCAATCAAACCAACTTTTCTGGCATAATTTTGTGCACATAAACTTCCTGTACGCGATAAAATTTGCTGATCATAGAGTTAAATTCAATCATATAAAAAGTTCTGGTATGAGTGCCATAAAAAAATGTTGAAAAAAAAAATGTGTAATCAGTTTTGAGGATTCAAAAACAGAATTTTCAATGTTCCGGATTGATTCAATTCGGTTTAATCTCGAAAATTAAGCTCTTAATGATTCCCCGGTTCCGTTTTAAAAGCTCAACGTGGAATGCACTCCCCTATTTTAAGCAGATTTAATCGAATTTTGGTTTCACTTCTTTTAGAAAAAAACCATTTAAATTAACAACTAATTAGAATAATAATTACGTATTGTTCTCCAGGTTTGTGATTATCCTCTTCAAATTGAAGAAGTAATTCGACCCCTTCGACGTATTCCTCTTCAATTGCATGTAATAAACTATCCTAATAACAAAAATTTTTAGTTTAATTATTTTTTTTGGTATGCTTTTTGATTACTTTGACTTTAATGCCTTCTTCAATTAGAATTTTCATTAATTCCAAATTTTCATTTTCAATGGCAGCTATTAATGCGCTTCTATTTAAAGGATCCACGCAGTTTATATCAAATTCTTCCGGATTGTTTTTATTTTCGCTTATAATGCTGAAAGGAAAATGACACAAAATTTTAAAAGAAAATAACTTTGTCTAAATTAAAAATTAAAATTACCTTCTTACTCCCGCACAATCACCTTTTTCAGCCGTTAATAAAAATTGTTTTTCGATTGTACTTAAAGCTCTTGTTGTAGGATCGGTAAAATTGAAAGCTTTTGTACTTGAGGCTGATCCTTTTCGACATTCCTCGATAAGTTTTTCTTTAGATTCGGTTGTTTTCATTATGTTGAGTTTAGTTTTTTTGATTAGAAAGTATTTCTTTGATCTGCTTTGAAAGTAGAATATGAACTAGTTTATTACGACCTACTCTAATATGATTGTAGTTGTGAGAAAATAATTAAATTATTCCAAATCCTCGGCAACCTTCCATCGACGTTCTAATTCCTTACAAAACTTCCGACTATCGATTCGTATAACGTTGATTTATTCCCTAGATATACATTTCTAAGGATTTCGTGGTCTCATTTTGCTTCAACATACCAAAAAAATTCAATATATAATAAATCTTTTAATTGTTATTTTTTTTCTAAATAGATAAATAAAATTAACCCAATTTCTAAACCTTTAACAAACGAGGAAAAAAAATTTCTTTTGGCAGTTGAAAGAGGCGACATGCCTAACGTTAGGAGGTAAAAAATCGAAATCTTAATTATTATTTTCACCAAATCTAATTTTTTTAGAATGCTTAAATTTCACGTTTTCAACATAAATTGTATGGATAGTTTAGGAAGGACAGCTTTAACATTAGCCATCGATGGTGAAAACTTAGAAATGGTTGAAACTTTAGTTACAAACGGTGTAGAAACTCGAGATGGTCTTTTACACGCTATTAATGTTGAATTTGTCGAAGCTGTTGAACTACTTTTGGATCACGAAGAAAATGTTCATAAAAAAGGAGATGCTTATGTAATAATCTAAAAGGAATCTAAGAGGATTGCTACATCCTAGGAAGAGATGTAAAGCTTAATGACCCGTTCGTGACGTCACGTATGAGTAGGCAACCACTATTTCACTATTGACGTCATTTTCTAGATTACAAAGGATGTGGCAGTCCTTTTAGATTTTCCTTTTAGAAAAACAAATTTATTATTGATTTTAGAGTTGGCAAAAAGTTGATTTAAACATAGCAACATTTACACCAGATATAACCCCGTTAATTTTAGCGGCTCATAGAAATAATTACGAAATTTTAAAGTTATTACTCGATCGAGGAGCTTCCCTTCCAATGCCGCACGATATAAAGTAAGTATTTAAACGAAAATCAAATAAAAGATTAAAAATAAAAACTGTTTTAGGTGTGGTTGTACGTCGTGTTTGAAAGATTCGAAAGAAGACTCATTGAGGCATTCGTTATCGAGAGTTAATGAGTACAAAGCTTTAGCGAGTCCTTCTTTGATCGCTTTATCATCGACGGATCCAATTTTAACCGCTTTTCAGTTATCGTGGGATTTAAGAAATTTAGCTTTTGCAGAACCTGTATTAAATTAAATTAATACATATTTATTTAACTTATTGATTAAGATTTTTTAGGAATGCAAATTTGAGTATTTAGAATTAAGAAAGCAATGTCAACAATTCGCTGTTGATTTATTGCATCAAAGTAGAAGTTCCGAAGAGTTATCTATAATTTTAAATCATGACCCAAATAATTTAGGGTGTAATAATAAAGATCAGATGAAATTGGCGCGATTAGAACTTGCTATAAGTCTTAAACAGAAAAAGGTAATTAATTTATTTTTAAATTAATTCTTACTTTGATTTTGATTTTTTATTTTTTAGTTTATTGCTCATCCGAATATCCAACAACTTTTAACAGCAATTTGGTACGAAGGTGTTCCGGGATTTCGTCGAAAATCGACTTTGGAAAAAATTTTGATCATCTTAAAAGTGGGTTTATTGTTCCCTTTTTATTGTCTCATTTACATATTCGCACCAAATTCAAATACAGGAAAAATAATGCGAAAACCTTTCATGAAATTCTTAATGCACGCATTCTCATACATATTTTTTCTAAGTTCGTTCGATTCTTATTAAAATTTTTCTTTTCACACATTACAATTTATTTTCTAGTTATTTTAATGCTTGCATCTCAACGCGCCGATATTCGCTTTTTCAAATTGTTCTACATCAATCAAGAAATCGAAAAGAACCAAAGAGGAAATCTCCCCACAATTTTAGAATATATCATTTTTTTCTACGTTTTAGGTAGTATTTAGAGCTTAGCAAATCTATCTTGGCCGGTCAACGCTACTTAAGGAGTTCATTTCTCTGTTATATTCCAGTGCCCAAAAAAAGTATTCGTAAAAAATTACAAACCTTTCAGCAACAAATTTTTAGCCTTGTTTTTCCACATACTTTACAAGCCGATATCTTCGTTGTCTTTAGAGGTAGTGAAATATTAAATACACCACTAGAAAGCTTGATCTCTTCTTTATCTAAATGTTTTGTCATGTCAATATGATGATGATGACAGCGAAAAAAATAAAGAACGTCGTCGTGTACCGAATACACATCAAAATTATCAAATTTCAAGGCGGCGTACAGCCGTTATGGAACCGACTTTAAAAAGTTATATACCATTTTATAGAGCGAAAAATTTCCTATGACTTCAATACAGGCACGAAATTTTGTCTGTATCATATAAGAAAGTTATGACGCCATAAACATTTATATATTACAATTATAAGTGGTTTTCGCAGTTTTAGGAAGGAAATTTCTTGTGTAACCACTAAACTTGTATATCATTGTATAGAGCAGAAAATTTCCTATTGGTTCTATATGATCACGGAGTTTCTTCTGTACCATATAAGAAAGTTATAACGCCATAAACCTGCATATACAGCAATTATGAGTAGTTTTTACAGTTTATGGGGGGAAAATACTTGTGTAACCATGCGATCTACTAATGTTGTATACCACTGTATAGAGCGGAAAATTTCCTATACATTCTATATAGCCATGGAGTTTCGTCTGTATCATATAAGAAAGTTGTGACGCCGTAAATACTTATATACTACAATTATAAGTGGTTTTCGCAGTTTTAGGAAGGAAATTTCTTGTGTAATCATGCGATCTACTAAACTTATATACCATTGTATAGAGCAGAAAATTTACTATTAATTCTGCATAATCACGGAGTTTCTTCCGTATCATATCAGAAAGTTGTGACGCCGTAAACCTGTATATATAGCAATATGAGCGGTTTTTGCAGTTTTTGGAGGGAAAATGCGTGTATAACCATGCGATTTACTAAAGATATATACTACTGCATAGAGAGGAAANAGAGCGAAAAATTTCCTATGACTTCAATATGGGCATGGAGTTTTGTCTGTATCATATAAGAAAGTTATGACGCCATAAACATTTATATATTACAATTATAAGTGGTTTTCGCAGTTTTAGGAAGGAAATTTCTTGTGTAACCACTAAACTTGTATACCATTGTATAGAGCAGAAAATTTACTATTGGTTCTATATAATCACGGAGTTTCTTCTGTACCATATAAGAAAGTTATGACGCCATAAACCTGTATATACAGCAATTATGAGCAGTTTTTGCAGTTTATGGGGAGGAAATACTTGTGTAACCATGCGATCTAGTAATGTTATATACCACTGTATAGAGCGGAAAATTTCCTATACATTCTATATAGCCATGGAGTTTCGTCTGTGTCATATAAGAAAGATATGACACCGTAAATATTTATATATGGCAATTATATGTAGTTTTCGCAATTTTTGGGGGGAAAATACTTGTGTAACCGTGCGATCTAGTAATGTTATATACCACTGTATAGAGCGGAAAATTTCCTATACATTCTATATAGCCATGGAGTTTCGTCTTTATCATATAAGAAAGTTATGACGCCATAAACACTTATATACTGCATTATAAGTGGTTTTCGCAGTTTTAGGAAGGAAATTTCTTGTGTAATCATGCGATCTACTAAACTTATATACCATTGTATAGAGCAAAAAATTTACTATTAATTCTGCATAATCACGGAGTTTCTTCCGTATCATATAAGAAAGTTGTGACGCCGTAAACCTATATATACAGCAATTATGAGCAGTTTTTGTAGTTTTTGGGGGGAAAATACTTGTATAACCATGCGATCTACTAATGTTATATACCACTGTATAGAGCGGAAAATTTCCTATACATTCTATATAGCCATGAAGTTTCGTCTGTATCATATAAGAAAGTTATTACGCCATAAACACTTATATACTACAATTATAAGTGGTTTTCGCAGTTTTAGGAAGGAAATTTCTTGTGTAACCAGGCGATCTACTAAACTTGTATACCATTGTATAGAGGAGAAAATTTCCTATTAGTTCTGTATGATCACGCAGTTTCTTCCGTATCATATAAGAAAGTTATGACGCCGTAAACCTGTATATACAGCAATTATGAGCAGTTTTTGCAGTTTTTGGGGGGAAAATACTTGTGTAACCATGCGATCTACTAATGTTATATACCACTGTATAGAGCGGAAAATTTCCTATACATTCTATATACCCATGGAGTTTCGTCTATATCATATAAGAAAGTTGTGACGCCGTAAATATTTATATACAGCAATTAAACGAGTTCTTCGCAATTTTTTGGGGGAAAATACTTGTGTAACCATGCGATCTACTAATGTTATATACCACTGTATAGAGCGGAAAATTTCCTATACATTCCATATAGCCATGGAGTTTCGTCTTTATCATATAAGAAAATTATTACGCCATAAACACTTATATACTACAATTATAAGTGGTTTTCGCAGTTTTAGGAAGAACATTTCTTGTGTAACCATGCGATCTACTAAACTTGTATACCATTGTATAGAGCAGAAAATTAGCTATTAGTTCTATATGATCACGGAGTTTCTTCCGTATCATATAAGAAAGTTATGACGCCATAAACCTGTATATACAGCAATTATGAGCAGTTTTTGCAGTTTTTGGGGGGAAAGCACTTAAGTAACCATGCGATCTACTAATGTTATATACCACTGTATAGAGCGGAAAATTTCCTATGCATTCTATATACCCATGGAGTTTCGTCTGTATCATATAAGAAAGTTGTGACGCCGTAAACATTTATATATGGCAGTTAAACGAGTTCTTCGCAGTTTTTGGGGGGAAAATACTTGTGTAACCATGCTATTTACTAATGTTATATACCACTGTATAGAGCGGAAAATTTCCTATACATTCCATATAGCTATGGAGTTTCGTCTTTATCATATAAGAAAGTTATTACGCCATAAACACTTATATACTACAATTATAACTGGTTTTCGCAGTTTTAGGAAGGAAATTTCTTGTGTAATCATGTGATCTACTAAACTTATATACCATTGTATAGAGCAGAAAATGTACTATTAGTTCTACATAACCACGGAGTTTCTTCCGTATCATATAAGAAAGTTATGACGCCGTAAACCTATATATACAGCAATTATGAGCAGTTTTTGTAGTTTTTGGGGGGAAAATACGTGTGTAACCATGCAATCTACTAATGTTATATACCACTGTATAGAGCGGAAAATTTCCTATACATTCCATATAGCCATGGAGTTTCATCTTTATCATATAAGAAAATTATGATGCCATAAACACTTATATACTACAATTATAAGTGGTTTTCGCAATTTTAGGAAAGAAATTTCTTGTGTAATCATGCGATCTACTAAACTTATATACCATTGTATAGAGCAGAAAATTTACTATTAACTCTACATAATCACGGAGTTTCTTCCGTATCATATAAGAAAGTTGTGACGCCGTAAACCTGTATATATAGCAATTATGAGCGGTGTTTACAGTTTTTGGAGAGAAAATACGTGTATAACCATGCGATTTACTAAAGATATATACTACTGCATAGAGAGAAAAATTTGCTATGAATTCTATATAGCCACAGAGTTTTTTCCATATCATATAAGAAAGTTACAACGCCATAAACATTTATATACGGCAATTATACGCAGTTTTCACAATTTTTGGGCAGAAAATACTTGTGTAACCTTGCGATATACTAATGTTATATACCACTGTATAGAGCGGAAAATTTCCTATGCATTCTATATAGACATGGAGTTTCGTCTGTATCATATAAGAAAGTTGTGACGCCGTAAACATTTATATATGGCAATTAAACGAGTTCTTCGCAATTTTTGGGAGGAAAATACTTGTGTAACCATGCGATCTACTAATGGTATATACCACTGTATAGAGCGGTAAATTTCCTATACATTTCATATAGCCATGGAGTTTCGCCTTTATCATATAAGAAAGTTATTACGCCATAAACATTTATATACTACATTATAAGTGGTTTTCGCAATTTTAGGAAGAAAATTTCTTGTGTAACCATGCGATCTACTAAACTTATATACTATTGTATAGAGCAGAAAATTTCCTATTAGTTCTATATGATCACGGAGTTTCTTGCGTATCATATAAGAAAGTTATAACGCCATAAACCTGTATATACAGCAATTATGAGCAGTTTTTGCAGTTTTTGGGGGGGAAATACTTGTGTAACCATGCGATCTACTAATGTTATATACCACTGTATAGAGCGGAAAATTTCCTATACATTCTATATAGCCATGGAGTTTCGTCTGTATCATATAAGAAAGTTGTGACGCCGTAAAGATTTATATACTACATTATAAGTGGTTTTCGCAGTTTTAGGAAGAAAATTTCTTGTGTAACCATGCGATCTACCAAACTTGTATACCATTGTATAGAGCAGAAAATTTCCTATTAGTTCTATATGATCACGGAGTTTCTTCCGTATCATATAAGAAAGTTATAACGCCATAAACCTGTATATACAGCAATTATGAGCAGTTTTTGCAGTTTTTGGGGGGGAAATACTTGTGTAACCATGCGATGTACTAATGTTATATACCACTGTATAGAGCGGAAAATTTCCTATACATTCTATATACCCATGGAGTTTCGTCTGTATCATATAAGAAAGTTGTGACACCGTAAACATTTATATATGGCAATTATACGTAGTTTTCGCAATTTTTGGGGGGAAAATACTTGTGTAACCATGCGATCTACTAAAGTTATATACCACTGTATAGAGCAGAAAAATTCCTATATGTTCTATATAGTGACGGAGTTTCGTCTGTATCATATAACAAAGTTATGTCACCGTAAACATTTATATACAGCAATTATACGCGGTTTTTGCATTTTTTGGGGGGAAAATGCTTGTGTAACCTATAATCTACTAAACATATATATACCACTGCATAGAGCGGGAAATTTCCTACACATTCTATATGATCACGAATCTTTTTCCATATCATATAAGAAAGTTATAACGCATTAAACATTTACATACGGTAATTATATGCGGTTTTTGCAGCTTTTGGGGGGAAAATCCTTAGGGGAAATATAATGTTAATTACTAAGCCTCCCATCGCACTCCTTCTTCTACGCAACTAACCGACCAAGATAGATCTACCAAGCTGTATCTCAACATTATATTTAAATAATATCAAATTATTTTTATTTAGGATTCCTTTTTGAACAAACTCGCGAAATTTATACAGATGGAATAAAAATTCACTTCAGAAACTTGTGGAACGTTATAGATTCAACTCGAAATCTAATTTATGGTTTCGTTTTCGTGCTCAGAATCATCGCATACGTACAACAATATCGTGAAATATCATCCGATCCATCAAAAGCTTCCATCCCAAGAGAAGAATGGGACGCTTTCGACCCCCAATTGGTCGCAGAAGGACTTTTCGCCGCTGCAAATGTTTTTAGGTAACAAAAACACTTAAATTAAAATTATTTCAGTAACAACTTTCTTGTAGTGCTTTAAAATTAGTTCATCTTTTTTCGATAAATCCTCATTTAGGACCATTACAAATTTGTTTGGGTCGAATGGTAATCGATATTGTTAAATTTTTCTTTATTTACGCCTTGGTTCTTTTTGCTTTTGCTTGCGGTTTAAATCAACTGTTGTGGTATTTTTCTGATTTGGAGAGAAAAAAATGTTTTCGTTTGAAGAATAAGTTACCAGATTGGACTAACTCGAGGGAATCTTGTTTGAAATGGAGGAAATTCGCTAAGTGACTTAATTTTAATTTAATTTAAGTTAATTTAGGTAATTAAATTAATTTTTTAGTGTTTTTGAGTCATCTCAATCTTTATTTTGGGCGAGCTTTGGAATGATAAGCTTAGAAGATTTTGAATTAGAAGGAATTAAAGGTTACACAAGATATTGGGGGTTATTAATGTATGGTTCTTATTCCGTTATAAACGTTATTGTGCTTTTAAATTTATTAATTGCAATGATGTCGAATTCTTATGCCACAATTGATGTAATAAAACAATAAATCTTATTATTACCCATTTTTAACAAGCTTTTTTAAGGATCACTCTGATACCGAATGGAAATTTGCTCGAACAAAACTTTGGATGAAATACTTCGAAGATACTCCAACTTTACCACCGCCTTTCAACATAATTCCATCACCAAAAATAATATTTAAACTATTTAAATCCAAAGAAAGATCAATTCCAATTTATGAATCAAACGAAAAAAATCAAAATAAAGATTTAAAGTACTCATCCGTTATAAGAGCTTTAGTTTGGAGATATGTAACTTCAATGCATCGAAAATGCGATGAAAGTTTAGTTACAGAGGATGATATAAATGAAGTTAAAAGTGATATGTCGGCGTTTCGATACGAAATTTTGGAGGTGTTAAATAAAAATGGAATGGATGTTTCTTGTGCTGATAAAAAAGAAAAAGGTGACTAAAAATAATCATTAATAAAATTATTTTAAAAAAATTTAACATTTATAGCGATTCTTGGGAAGAAAATGAAAGTTTGGGAACGCCGTTTAATGAAAGATTTTAAAGTGGCCCCAATAAATCCTGATGAAATGGACCGATTAGTTTACGTTTCTCCACCAGAAAATGAAGATTCATTGGCCAGATTTAGAAGAATCGCTAAATTGGCACTTTTAAACTCAAGTTTGCACAAATGGCGACAAGTTATTAAAGGAGCTTGTTTAACGTATTAAAATTTTTCAAAAATAAAGTTTCTTCATTAATTTTAAGCTTTTTAGGAACCAAATTGGTCATTTTAGCGAAACCGAACCAAAAACATTAACATTTTTAGATAATAATGATAAAATTAATGAGGATGAAGAAAAAATTATTCCCATTGTTTATAAGGAAGATGAAGAAGATCAATTAAAAGATGATTAAAAATTATTTATTTAAATAATGTATCATTTTGAATTGTAATTTTTGTATTTAATTTAAATTTACAATAAAAGATGTCACTAATGAATATTTTCTTTTCATTTATTAATATGTATAACCTAATTCTTTATTTTTAAATTTAAATTAATATTAATTCATATATTTTTAATATATTTTGCAATAATTTTAATAATAACAAACGCTTTAATTATTTTTAATTATTAGTTTTAATTATGATTTTCACCAAAAGATGTCACCATTATAAAAAGTTGTGAAATTAATTTTAATAATTTTTAAACAAATTATAATGCATTACACAATACCAAAAATAGCTCACAATACATAATATCACTCATAAAAAATTCTTATTAGTCAACAAGTAACTAACCTTAATTCTTAATTTATAAACAATAATTAAGAATTTATAATAAAATTAGAGCTTTAATTTAATTTGACAATAAAAGATGTCACTAATAAATATTTTTTCTAATTTATTAATATCACCCAATTATTTATATTTAAATTTAAATTAATATTAATTCATATATTTTTAATATATTAATAATTTCTTTTACAATAATTTTAATAATAACAAACATTTTAATTATTTTTAATTATTAGTTTTATTTATGATTTTCACCAAAAGATGTCACCGTTACAAAACAGTTGTCAAATTAATTTTAATAATTTTTAAACAAATTATAAAGCATTACACAATACCAAAAATAGCTCACACTACATAATATCACTCATAAAAAATTCTTATTAGTCAACAAGTAACCAACCTTAATTCTTAATCTATAAACAATAATTAAAAATTTATAATAAAATTAGAGATTTAATTTAAATTTACAATAAAAGATGTCACTAATAAATATTTCTTCTAATTTATTAATATCACCTAATTTTTTATTTTTAAATTTAAATTAATATTAATTCAAATATGTTTAATATATGAATAATTACTTTTACAATAATTTTAATAATAACAAACATTTTAATTATTTTTAATTATTAGTTTTAATTATGATTTTCACCAAAAGATGTCGCCATTATAAAAAAGTTGTCAAATTAATTTTAATAATTTTTAAACAAATTATCACACTACATAATATCACTCATAAAACATTCTTATTAGTGAACTAACCTTAATTTTTAAGTAATAAACAATAATTAAGAATTTATAATAAAATTAGAGCATTATTCAAAATTATAATAAAAGATGTCACTAATAAAAAAATTCTTCTCTTTATTAATTCAACCTAATTACTTATTTTTACATTTAAATTAATGTTAATTCAAATATTGTTAATAAATTAATGATTTCTTTTACAATTATTTTAATAATAACAAACATTTTAATGATGTTTTAGGATTATTCTTAATTATTAGTTTTAATTATGATTTTCACCAAAAGATGTCACCATTACAAACAGTTGTCAAATTAATTTTAATAATTTTTAAACAAACTATAATGCATTACACAATACAAATAATAAATAAAAGTACAATAAAAAATTCCTATTAGTTTACCTTAATTCTTAAATTATAAACAATAATTAAAAATTGATAATACAATTACAGCTTTAATTTAAATTTACAATAAAAGATGTCGCTAATGAATATTTTCTTCTCATTTATTAATATCACCTAATTAATTATTTTTAAATTTAAATTAATATTATTTCGAATATTTTTAATATATTAATAATTTCGTTAACGACAATTTTAATAATAACAAACATTTTAATAATTTTTAGGATTATTTTTATTATTATTTTCACCAAAAGATGTCACCATTATATAATTATTTATTCCATTTTAATTAATTAATTATTTTTATTAAGTTCTAAATAATTATTTGTTGCAAATTACAACATTACAATGGGGTCATACACACTTATTAAATTTAGAGAAAATTTTTATGTCAAACGATATATGCAAGTATATGCATGAATACAAAGTAAAAGAAATATTTTGATCAATTTTATATTTTGCGTAATTTGAAGTGAAAAATAGCAAATATTCAAACGAAATAATTTCGCGGCTTTTCTGTGACGTAGGAACCGCACTGCCTAAAACAAGTTAAATTGTCCGTTAGATAGCGCTTGCGGTGTGACAGTGTCAAAATAAAACCATGGATGTAATACAGTGTCTCTATTACATCCATGAACAAAACATAATAAACATAACCTACAAACACTCTATCTCTTTTCAATACAACCTAAATGACGTTCATCTCTTTCTCGCATTTGAGCGGGGAGCAGGGGACGCAAAAGTGAGAATCGTACGTCATCAACGCGGGAATTTTAAAAGCTCAAATGGGTATATAAATTTTCAATAATTTTTTTAACAATGACTTTGTTCGAAAATATTAAAAAAAAAATAACGGTAACTATATTTTTATATAAACTTTCAGAAAATATAATAAAAAAAAAATCGTGTATGACCCCATTACTTTTAAAACAAAAACGCTCAAAATTACTTTTTATGTATTAAAATTGATTTCCTTTCTACAGTCCAATCACAAGGAAGGTGTTGAGTTAGTGGCGCCATCTAGTGTAAAATGCGTCTTGTAAACATTATGGCTGCGTAGCGTTTGAAAGAAGTTCGTGTAACTTTCGTCGATTTTACTCATTTTTTAACAGAAAAATATAGAATTAATTGTGTGCAATGTTGAACCAGGTGTCTATGGAAGCGGCGTGTGCCGCTCGGTACGTAGAAAATTATTTGGACTGCGTCGAAAACCTCCCCGACGACCTGCAACGTATGATCTCAAGGATGAGGGAATTGGATGTGTATTATTTAGGTGTGTATTTCATTATTTAACCCCTATTTAAGGATAATTTAAGATCCCTCTTTGCATATTCATAGTAAGTTAAAAAAAAATCCAATAATTTTTTTAATTACAATTCAAAATATCAACCAATATGGTTTGGTAAAAATGTTTATTATACCTTCCATTTAACAGCAAGAATAAGCGAAATAGAACATCACACTCAAGCATGGAAAAGCATTCCTGATATAGATGTTGTGAAAAAAAGAAACACCTTAATTCGTATGCAAAGAACTTTAATAATAGCTCAAGAACTTGGTGATGAAAAAATGAGTTTAGTTCAGAGCATCTTGGACAAAATTGAATCAAAAACTAGTCAATTGGACCACGACTATAAGTACCTAGACTTTGGCAAAGATGAAACCCCCACGAATGATAACAAAGAGCAACAATCTCCGTTAAATAATTCCACAAGTAATACTTCAATTAATAACAGTGAACGTCCCAATAAAAGAGCAAGAAGAACGCGTCAGGACACATTTTCCGGGCTTGAATCAAATCATAATGATAATTCTGCTGATCATTTATTAAGAAGTCAATCTGCTAATACGCCAGCGAGTCAAAAGAAAACAAACACTGGAACTGGAAAGAAAAAGAAACGAAAATCAAGGCAAAATCAACAAAGAGAAGAGTCCCCACCAAGGGAAGAAGAACCAGCAATAGATCCAGACGAACCAACGTATTGTCTTTGTGATCAAATTTCATTTGGTGAAATGATTATGTGCGATAACGATTTGTGTCCAATCGAATGGTTTCATTTTTCGTGTGTTACATTAACAACGAAACCGAAAGGAAAATGGTATTGTCCAAAATGTCGTGGGGATAGGCCGAATGTAATGAAACCAAAAGCGCAATTTTTGAAGGAATTGGAAAAGTATAATCGAGAGAAAGAAGAGAAAACGTGAAAAAACTACAATTTTAAGACATTTATTTTTTTTTTTGTATTTGCTAATGTTTGGTTGGAGCTAATATGCTAAATAAAATTATATTGCTATTATTATCTATTGTTTTTTCTTTTCTAGTTCTGTTGAAATTCCTAAAAATTATTATAATCAGATCAATATCAGCAAAAGTTTTTTCTTCTCATTCTTTAGCAGTTTTTAAAGGATATCTTAATATCCTTAATTCTTAATTTATAAACAATAATTAAGAATTTATATTAAAATTAGAGCTTTAATTTAAAGTTACAATAAAAGATGTCACTAACGAATATTTTTCCCCATTTATTAATATGTATANAAATTATTAATATATTAAAAAAATTTAAATTAATATTAATTTAAATATTTTTAATATATTAATAATTTCTTTTACAATAATTTTAATAATAACAAACTTTTTAATTATTAGTTTTAATTATAATTTTCACCAAAAGATGTCACCATTACAAAAAATTGTCACATTAATTTTAATAATTTTTAAACAAATTATAATACATTACACAATACAAATAATAGCTCACAACAATTCTTGTTAGTCAACAAGTAACTAACCTTAATTGTTAATTTATAAACAATAATTAAAAATGTGTAAGATTAGAGCTTTAATTTGAATTTACAATAAAAGATGTCGCAAGTGAATATTTCCTCTTTATTTCTTCTCATTTATTAATATCACCTAATTATTTATTTTTAAATTTAAATTAATATTATTTTTAATATATTAATAATTTCTTTAACGATAATTTTAATAATAACAAACATTTTAATAATTTTTAGGAGTATTTTTATTATTATTTTCACCAAAAGATGTCACCATTATATAATTATTTATTCCATTTTAATTAATTAATTATTTTTATTAAGTTCTAAATAATTATTTGTTGCAAATTACAACATTACAATTACTTAATGAGGATTTTCAAACCAAACTATTTATTTTATCCCTATTCTTTGGCACTTCATATCTGATATCCAATAAACAAGATGCAGTAGGGGCTGAAACTTGTGATTATGTGAAAACGTTTTCTTTTGGTTAATACAAAGACTGAATTAGTTCTATTCACTAAGCAATGGAAGTTAGACTAGAAGCTTAAAACCTTTTAATTCGTTTTATGATAATTTTCCTCCTAAGTGGAATATATCACTAAACTATAAATAGTAATATTGCTGTATTAATAGTGGACAAAGAATATTAATGAGGAGGCCAAACCAGTTGCTTTCACAGCCAAATAATCTGCAAAGAACTTCAATTGGAGAGGAAATTAAGTAATCATTTTCTGCAAAATGATCCCAATATGGAACAAGCTCTCTGGTTTCAGAGAAATGTTGATAAGCGTTTGTCTCAAGCTGAATTTGTTTCAAGTAAAACCAAGATTGCATCATATGAAGTAGAAGTATCCAGTGTTAAATCTAGATGAAAAGATTAATATCCAGTAGTGATGGAACGGATAGTGCTTATCTATCTGGCCATTATGGTGATAATCTTTAGTGTGTTTCTGAATCCTACATTGCCACATTATTGCAATATTTGAACAAAAATGAAATTAATAAGAAAGCTGATAAGATATGTCAACTTATTTGGATCCAAGATACGAAATGAACTTTTTTGATGCAGATTTAAGAAACGAAGCAAGATTATGGCTATTATTGGAAAGACTTGGGCTGCATCACAAATTAAAAGTGATAGCGACAGTTCTGTTAGTAATGAATGTGATGATGAATTACAAGCGAAGAGAAGAAACTGCAACAAGAGATTTGTTCACATATCGTTTTGAAAAAAGTCCTATTGAGGTTGGCCTCTCTTAAAAAGTAGCCAAACTTGATATTGTATTCGCTCACTTTGATTCTATAACTCCTAATTGCCTCTTTTGAGCTTGAAAGATAAAATTAATAAAGAACTGTGGAATTTGAGCTGTGCCAAAAAAATAATTGTAGGTATTGTATTTTTAAAAGTTAAAATTCAATATACAGTGATACAATAAAATCTACATACACCCCAGAAAATGGTAATATCTCAGCTCCTGAAATGTAATTCAATGAATTTTTTTAAACGAAGGATATTAGAAGTCTATATTATTTTAATACAAAGTCGAAACAGTTCGACTTGTGCTACGAAGTGAAGACTACAGCAGTAGATTTAGTAGCACGACTCTCAAGACTGCTAAACCCGAATTATTCTAGGTCTTGTGTTAGTTCTAGTGATACTGCTGGTGTAAAACTAGAACTAACACTATACCTAGAAGTAGAATCATTTGGATTTAGCCGCACGTCTCTAAAGACGGCTAAACCCAAATGATTCTAGTTCTAGGTATAGTGTTAGTTCTACATAGCAACAGTGCTAGTGTAAAACTAGAACTAACACTGGATCTAGAACTAGAAACATTCGGATTTAGCCGCACGTCTCTCAAGACGGCTAAACCCGAATTGTGTTTTTAGTTCTAGGTCTAGTGTTAGTCTAGTTGTATTTGTTATTCAACGCTAGATAGTTGTATATTTTTATTGAGCTATAACGGACGCTGATAGACATTTTTTTAGGACTGTATATATTTCAATTTGCACGCAATCATGGAAGACTAGCCGTCGAAAAATGGCAAAACATATTGTGGAGCGACGAAAGTAATAGTATATTAAAAAACTAGTTTCGTAAGACACGCTTGAAATGCACGAAACGTGTTTTTTTATTCTACTTTTTGTAATTCGCGTTTTTATCCTTTTTTTAACAAAAATAAAATAAATTGAGAATGTAGCGAAATAGGTATGTATCAGTTGGTAACACCGTAATACTTGAAAATAGAAATTTGAATTGACAATTAGAAATTGTCAAAACAAATGTATTCACCTGAAAAAAATGTTTCATGTACACCTCCCAAAATAAGAGAAATTGCTCACCTTCTATTCGATGCCAAGAACGTGTTTAAACATCCATAGACAAAAATTGTCACATTGACAACTAGAAAAATTAGTGATCCAATGTCACCAACTTGAACTGGTTCCATTAAATGTTACTAAAATCTGTCAACGGCGTTATTTCGGCGCCTACTTTGATTGTAATTTGCTGACTTAACATTTTCAGAAAACGCATTCTTTCTCGATTTTTTTCTTATACAACCATAGGATTTGATATGTTCATCGCGTAGAGGGATTTATTCTCAATCAAAATATGCAAAAAAAATATATGCATCCCATTTAAAATAATAATATTGGTTGCCATAGCAACGAAACAATGTAAATAAACAAATACCGCCAAAAAATACGACACAATAGACTGCCTAAATCTGACGTCACAGAGATGGGCGGAGCTTATACTGACTCCAAACAATTTCGTCGCTAACGATAAATCACCAAAAAATGTCATTTGAAATGTCATCACTTAGTTTATTTTATTTTAACACTAATGAAAAATTGCATATGGTGATTTACCGTTAGCAACGAAAATGTTTGGAGTCGGTATAAGCTCCGCCTATCTCTGTGACGTCAGATTTAGATATTGGCTATACTCCAGACATTTGATACACCCCGTATATTTTACAATTAAAATACATTTAAAGACGATTGTCAGGTCACACTTATTATTTTGCACAGCACTGTATTTTTTAGAAAATACATGTACTATTTATTTACGTTAAATGTCTGAATCATGCACATTTTACACTATTTTCAATTTACATGGTTTTCTATGAAACCAATCCTCCATGTAAATCAGAGGATAGGTGTAATTCAATGCTGGATATATTGCAGTAAGAAGAGCACAATGTTGCAGTAGTAAATCAATTTTTTTAAATTCAGTTCCTATATTAATTTGGTATAAACTTGTTGCTTGTAATTATCTTATTGCATATAAGGAATAACAAGAGTTTGTTTACCACTGTTTAGTTGGAACAAATTGGCTATTAAGTGCTGAGATGAAAATGGCTTCAAATTTGCTAATAAGCCAGTTATATAGTCATATATAATACAATTTGTTTTCTTATTAATGAAATTGGTGACAAATAAAAGGTAATATAATCAAAAACTCCTCATTTAAACTTATTTCAAGGTCATATATTAATAAAAACGCAAATACACGAAATTATCATCTTAATATAACCTCTGTGGTGGTCCCATAGATGACTTTACATGTAAAGATCTAACATTTTGCCAATGTTTCTTTAAAAGGGACACCAAAAAGTTAATGGCTAAATGGACGTTTTGCACCAATTCATCTGGGGCCATTCCAACATGACCAACAGCAACAGACAAACAAAGTACCTAAAAAAGCAAAAAAAAATTAATTTAAAATTAACAAAACAGTTTTAATTATTTCATAATTGTTTGCAATAATTAAATCCACAAATCAATTTTAAATTAGTGGTAGTTATAAATTGCATAATTTTTTAGCACAATTCTTCCATACAGATTAAATATAATTAATTTCATTAATTTGTTGGCTTGATTGTGCAATAAAAATAAATTTGATTAAAATATCTTACTTTTTTCATTTGAAACTTAATTGTTGCTTTGACTTCATCAATTTTTTGAGTCATCGATTCTTGGTGGGACAACAACCCAGGGAACTTGCCAGCTTTATTCAAACCAGGTCCCAATAAACGAGGAATTTGCTTAATCAAAGCTTCTGATGCTAAAAATGCATCATATTTTTTTGCTAGTTTCTTCACCAACTTCTTGTTCTTATTCAATTTTTTTAAAGCTTCAACATCCATGTATGGAACATTGTTAGCTTTTGCTTCATCACAATGCTGTTGATCACCCAACACACAAACTTGCATTTTTGGACGAGGAATATGTTTCAATCTAATTAAAAAATAAATTAATTAAAATTACCGTCTTTGTTGAATAATATTTTTTAAATTTAAATGATCCATATAGCAATTACTTACCAAAAAATATTGATACATAATGATTAAAATTAATTTACGATAATATCTTTTATAAAAAATAAAAGATAAGATCTTCCCAATTATTTTAAGACCCTGGGTGCAGGTCCGTTGAGTTTCCTCAACTTCCTGAATTAACAATTACTTTTAAGTTAATCAAAAAACAATTTTTTGTGGTGAACATAACCTCAACGACAACTTAAAAGCAACGTGTTCAGGTCTACGTACTTGATGGTACCGCTGAAACGCTTATCCTTCTGCGGATCGTAATTTTTCAATCCAATTTGGATCTCGACGGTTTCCAAAAACTTCCTCTTTTTCGTTTCATTGGAATATTGCAGAACACCATTGACGCATTCATACAAAGTATCACGCGATACTTTCGACCTAAATTAATAAAATAATTAGCCTATTTTATCGAATTGTAAATTATTTATCGTTTTATAGTAAAATAATAACAAAATTGTTTATGATTAATTAAAAAATTAAAGATTACTTACGACATTTTCGCGGACGATTTCCAACGTGGACGCGACAGAAATGAAAGAGAAATTGACGTTCGCGTTAGTTACCAACTTCATAGTGGATAATAGCGACATCTTTTGATTATAAAGTGAATATTAACGCCATCTATTGAGGAGATATTTAATCATATTATGAAATTTGATTATTTTATTTTTTTGATAATTATCTTTTAAAAATCCAATTCTTAATGTTGTTTATTTTAGATAAATTGGTTTGATAATATAGCTTTCAACTTAATAAGTAATAACATGAGTGTGATCAATTACTTAGATCCACTTTGTGCTTAATTAAAGTACTCGTTCAAATTAAAGAATGATTCACTTTTTTATAGTTAACAAAGTTAAATTAAAAATACCGCATATTATTATCGGTTAAGAAATTAAACATGTTTATTTACAAAAAATGTGGTGTTAAATGAAGCAATGAATCATTCAAAATAAAACGTATCCACTAAATGTGTACGTCATTGCGTTTAGAACATGTTGCAGTTGTAAATTATATTCGAAAAATATCATTATCGCACATCTGTTGTATTATTTTGAATCTTTTCTTTGTGTTCGTTGTAGAGGTGTTAACCGATATTTGTCCTGTTACATCGGAAAAAGTATTTGTATGTTGTTCCTTGGAACAGTCCATCTCGGTTTGCAGTTCTGATATTAGAAACTGGTGATAGATAAATATGAAATAAGTGTGGATTATGATTTCTTGATGCATTAGGAATATTTTTTATTCATAACGTCTTTCTCCATCAATATTAGTTCTTACGTTATAGTTAATTTTATTAAGAAAAATTGTCCAATTTTGACATTTTGGAGATTTATGCTATATCATTAGAAACTGGTGATAGATAAATACGAAACAGTTATAGATTATGATTACTTGATGCATTAGGAATATTTATTATTCATAACGTCTTTCTCCATCAGATTTAGTATTTGGGTTATAGTTGATTTTGTTAAGAAAAATCGTCCAATTTTGACATTTTGTGATTGATGCTATATCATTAGAAACTGGTGATAGATAAATACGAAATAGTTATAGATTATGATTTCTTGATGGATTTGGAATATATTTTATTCATAACGTCCTTCTCCATCAGTTTTAGTACCTACGTTGTAGTTGGTTTTATTAAAAAACATCGTCAAATTTCGACATTTTGCAACTTATGCTATATCACTAGAAACTGGTGATAGATAAATATGAAATAAGTGTGGATTATCATTTCTTGATACATTAGGAATATTTTTTATTCATAACGTCTTTCTCCATTAATTTTAGTTCTTACGTTATAGTTAGTTTTATTAAGAAAAATCGTCCAATTTTGACATTTTGGAGATTTATGCTATATCATTAGAATCTGATGATAGATAAATACGAAATAGTTATAGATTATGATTTATTGATGCATTAGGAATATTTTTTATTCATAACGTCTTTCTCCATCAGTTTTAGTGCTTGAGTTATGGTTGATTTTATTATGAAAAATCGTCCAATGTTGACATTTTGCAATTTATGCCATATCACTAGGAACTGATGATAGATAAATATGAAATAAGTGTGGACTATCATTTCTTGATGCATTAGGCATATTTTTTATTCATAACGTCTTTCTCCATTAATTTTAATTCTTACGTCATAGTTAATTTTATTAAGAAAAATCGTCCAATTTTGACATTTTGAAGATTTATGCTATATCATTAGAAACTGGTGATAGATAAATACAAAATAGTTATAGATTATGATTTCTTGATGCATTAGGAACATTTTTTATTCTTAATGTCTTTCTCCATCAGTTTTAGTATTTGAGTTATAATTGATTTTGTTAAGAAAAATTGTCCAATTTTGACACTTTGTGATTGACGCTATATCACTAAATACTGGTGATAGATAAATATGAAATAAGTGTGGATTATCATTTCTTGATGCATTAGGAATATTTTTTATTCATAACGTCTTTCTCCATCAATATTAATTCTTACGTTATAGTTAATTTTATTAAGAAAAATCGTCCAATTTTGACACTTTGGAGATTTATGCTATATCATTAGAAACTGGTGATAGATAAATACGAAATAGTTATAGATTATGATTTCTTGGTGCATTAGGAATATTTTCTATTCATAACGTTTTTCTCCATCAGTTTCAGTACTTGGGTTATAGTTGATTTTGTTAAGAAAAATCGTACAATTTTGACACTTTGTGATTGATGGTATATCACTAGAAACTGATGATAGATAAATATGAAATAAGTGTGGATTATCATTTCTTGATGTATTAGGAATATTTTTTATTCATAACGTGTTTCTCCATCAGTTTTACTACTTGGGTTATAGTTGATTTTATTAGGAAAAATCGTCCAATTTTGATATTTTGCAATTTATGCTATATCACTAGAAACTGGTAATAGATAAATATGAAATAAGTGTGGATTATGATTTCTTGTTACATTAGGAATATTTTTTATTCATAACGTCTTTCTCCATAAATTTTAGTTCTTAAGTTAAACTTAGTTGATTTTGTTAAGAAAAATCGTCCAATTTTGACATTTTGCAATTTATGCTATATCACTAGAAACTGGTGATAGATAAATATGAAATAAGTGTGGATTATGATTTCTTGATGCATTAAGAATATTTTTTATTCCTAACGTCTTTCTCCAATAATTTTAGTTCTTACGTCATAGTTAATTTTATTAAGAAAAACAGTCCAATTTTAACATTTTGGAGATTTATGCTATATCATTAGAAACTGGTGATAGATAAATACGAAATAGTTATAGATTATGATTTCTTGATGCATTAGGAATATTTTTATTCATAACGTCTTTCTCCATCAGTTTTAGTACTTGGGTTATAGTTGATTTTGTTAAGAAAAATCGTACAATTTTGACACTTTGTGATTGATGGTATATCACTAGAAATTGATGATAGATAAATATGAAATAAGTGTGGATTGTCATTTCTTGATGCATTAGGAATATTTTTTATTCATAACGTGTTTCTCCATCAGTTTTACTACTTGGGTTATAGTTGATTTTATTAGGAAAAATCGTCCAATTTTGACATTTTGTGAATTATGCTATATCATTAGAAACTGGTGATAGATAAATATGAAATAAGTGTGGATCATCATTTCTTGATACATTAGGAATATTTTTTATTCATAACGTCTCTCTCCATAAATTTTAGTTCTTACGTTATACTTAGTTAATTTTGTTAAGAAAAATCGTCCCATTTTGACATTTTGTAATTTATGCTATATCACTAGAAACTGGTGATAGATAAATATGAAATAAGTGTGGATTATCATTTCTTGATACATTAGGAATATTTTTTATTCATAATGTCTTTCTCCATTAATTTTAGTTCTTACGTTATAGTTAGTTTTATTAAGAAAAATCGTCCAATTTTTACATTTTGGAGATTTATGCTATATCATTAGAAACTGGTGATAGATAAATACGAAATAGTTATAGATCATGATTTCTTTATGCATTAGGAATATCTTTTATTCATAACGTCTTTCTCCATCAGTTTTAGTACTTGGGCTATAGTTGATTTTGTTAAGAAAAATCGTCCAATTTTGACATTTTGCAATTTATACCATACAACTACGAACTGATGATAGATAAATATGAAATAAGTATGGACTATCATTTCATGATGCATTAGGAATATGTTTTATTCATAATGTCTTTCTCCATTAATTTTAGTTCTTACGTCATAGTTAATTTTATTAAGAAAAATCGTCAAATTTCGACATTTTGCAATTTATGCTATATCACTAGAAACTGGTGATAGATAAATATGATATAAGTGTGGATTATCATTTCTTGATACATTAGGAATATTTTTTATTCATAACGTCTTTCTCCATAAATTTTAGTTCTTACGTCATACTTAGTTGATTTTGTTAAGAAAAATCGTCCAATTTTTACATTTTGGAGATTTATGCTATATCATTAGAAACTGGTGATAGATAAATATGAAATAATTATGGATTATGATTTCTTGATGCATTAGGAATATTTTTTATTCATAACGTTTTTCTCCATCAATTTTAGTTCTTACATTATAGTTGATTTTGTTAAGAAAAATCGTCCAATTTTGACATTTTGCAATTTATGCTATATCACTAAAAACTGGTGATAGATAAATATGAAATAAGTGTGGATTATCATTTCTTGATACATTAGGAATATTTTTTATTCATAACGTCTTTCTCCATCAGCTATAGTTGTGATTTATGCTATATCATTAGAAACACAGGAAAAGTTGTATAATATAAAGCTATTACTTTTTAGGAACAAGAACATATTGTAATTATTGTGCCTATTCCCCAAAAAAATTTAGTTTATTGCATCTCTAGTTCGTTCTCAAAAGGGATCGTTCATTTTAGGAGTCAATGGCCCCAAATGTTATTGCTATTTCGAAGCTTAAAAGAAAAACAATGTTCGTTTACGTTTCGACGTGAAATTAGATCAAACTTTAGTGGATAATTATAGATTTCTGCATAGTTTTAAAACCGATTCTGAATTGGGATCGAAATTTTCTTGAAACTTATTCAAGATAAAATAAAAAAACCTTAACCTAAATTAAAACAAATAAAATTAAAAGAAATGTGCCAACTTTAACTATAAAAGTGTTTCTGTTAGAATCATCGTTTAAATCGATTTAAAACTGTTACACGTTCTGTGTATAAAGTAGTATAAAGGAAGGTCGGATTGAATGGTTATTGTTTAGACTTTAATTGGAAGTGTCTATTTCTGTCGTCGATTTAATTGGAGTAATATTTTTGATTTAATTGATTAGTTTTTATTACTACAAAAAACAAATTAGGACGAGAAAAGTTTGTTTATAAAACTAACCATCAAAATGACAAAAACATCAAAATTTAATCCCAAAAAAATATTTAATTTATCATTTTTATTACTATTAATAATACAAAAATCAACCTCAACATATTACACCACATTTAATTTAAAGGATTCACTTCATTTATGCGAAGATCTTCACTTATATCCGTTAAAATTAGGCGATGGAATAGAAAGTGCGATAAAACTCAATCTTTACCATAAACAATCGTTTCATTGTCAATTCGAAATAACCCCAAGAAGTGAAAAACACGGAATAGTCGTTGTTATTCAAGATATGAAGTTTAGAAAACGTCCAAATTCCAGTGAATGTATCGATTATATAATGTTTAAAGGAAAAAAATACGGAAAGGTTTCAAAAAAATTCTGTGGATCTTTTGATGTTGAATCGGCGATGGAAAGATTCGTTGTTAAAAAAGCATCTTTAATAGCAATGGCAAGTAAAAATGTTTATCAAAGTGATCTAGACGATGACGTTATGGTTATTATTCATATGAATGTGAATCATAATGAAACTAAAAGTAATTATTACGATTTGGGCGCTGAATTAGTGTTAACAAGTTACACAAATTGTCGTTCAAACCCGCCGTGGTTTTATAAACCTTGCATATCAAAAAATTTAGACACAATTTGCATCGAAGACGTTTATTTCACCGATGGCTATGTTAATTGTCCGTTTAAAGGTTGCGTGGATGAAGGAACTTGCGTTCCTTTAATGGTAAAAATCTACGGAAAACGAATTTTCATTGGAACCATAATCGGAGTGATTATATCAGTTTGTTTGTCAGTGTGTTGTTTCTTTTATTGCACACCTTATAAAGAACGCAGTGTTGAGCAACAAAACGATTTACCACCTAATTATATGCTGCCGAGAATTGACGACGATGAAGAAACCGATTTTAGTTCGGATGAAGAAGGAATGAGGAGATTTGATGAAGAAATCGGAAAAGAATCGGAAGAGGAAAGAGAAAATTGGGATAAACCACCTTTATATGAAAGTTTATTTCCTGAAGGACCATCTTCATCTTTTTCTAAACCATAAAATGTTTAATATTAATAAAATTATTATTTCAAAAAATTAATTGTTTTCAATATTTCCAATAAATAATCTCGTTTTTGGTTGAAAATATGAACATTTTATGAATATGTTGCTCTTTCAAGTTATTAAAGGTAACACTTCGGAATCGGAGCATGTTATAAGAAAACATTTATAACAAAAATTGTTGCAAATTTTATTTTTAACAATATTGCTCTCTTGCACTCTTGCTCTTAGATACGTCAATATCGAGATAGATACGAAAATATGAAAATTTTATGAATTTGTTGCTCTTTCAAGTTATTAAAGGTAACACTTAGGAATCGGAGCATGCTATAAGAAAACTTTTATAACCAAAATTGTTGCAAATTTTATTGTTAACAATATTGCTCTCTTGCACTTTTGCTCTTAGATACGTCAATATCGAGATAGATACGAAAATATGAAAATTTTATGAATTTGTTGCTCTTTCAAGTTATTAAAGGTAACACTTGGGAATAGGAGCATACTACAGGAAAACTTTTATAACAAAAATTGTTGCAAATTTGATTGTTAACAATATTGCTCTTTTGCACTTTTGCTCTTAGATACGTCAATATCGAGATAGATACGAAAATATGAAAATGTTATGAATTTGTTGCTCTTTCAAGTTATTGAAGGTAACACTCGGGAATCGGAGCATGTTATAAAAAAACTTTTAGAACAAAAGTTGTAGCAAATTTTATTGTTATCATTATTGCTCTCTTGCACTTTTGCTATTAGATGCGTCAATATCGTGACAGATACGAAAATTTGATGAATCTGTAGCTTTTTTAAGTTTTAATCCATTCACATTTAGACAATATGACATGATTCACCAACTCTGTACAACCCAAACAGAGAATCTGCATCTTAAAATGTGTCTTTGATATATGATTTAGTTGTAACTTTGATTGCATATCAAAGATTCATCCATTTTTCACTATGTAGATCATAACTACGTCAAAGATCTATTTTCAAGATATCATGATGTATTTTAGATATTAGCAAAATAGTTTTGCAAGAGTCTCACATCTCTCTCCAATGAGGTTGTGTTGTTATACAAGGATTAAGTTGATTCATAATTGCGAAGAGGCGCCACACTGAGAGATCAAATTAATGGCAAAAGATACCGATAGCCATATCATGTATCATGTACAATTTGAAGAACTATGTGCTAAAGTGTGAATGTACCACATCTAGTCAAGTAACGACGTAAGGACAAAGGAAAATGAGTTGGGCACATTGCAAGTAGTACAACTCAGTATAGAGCGTTCTAAGTTGTACAATTTGACATCTTACAACAAAAGCATTGAATTCCAAATCGTTCATAGGCTTATTCTATGAATACTTAATAATTAATATCTACAATGTGATAGGACTACAATTACTATTGCCTTGTCATCAATGGCATGATGGCGATTCTGGTGAATAATAGGCTGTTATGGAAATCTCTTCATTGGCCACTGTCCCTCTCGTTTTATATATCTCATCTCGTTATACTTCTCATTTTTGGAATTGACGTTTTGTTGGTTTCTTTTTCAATTCTACTCCATGTCATTTTGGGTTTTAGATTTTAAGACTCTATGACCAAGCGTATTTATGTCTCTCCATAACGTGTGTTTAATCCATCCGCACTTTCTTAACTCGTGGTCAGACTATTTGGCAGGCATTTGTTGATAAATACCTATGCTTTGCTTTTTTATGTCTTCAGTAACGAGCCACGTTTCGCGTCCATAAAGCAGAACTGATTTAACATCACCGTTGAAAACATGCAATTTAGTTTTTCCCTGGAATTTATCAGCGTAATCTAAAGCTGGTTAATCTAGATGCTGCAGTCCGAAAGGTTGCCTTTTTCGCTATTTTGACAATTATACCTTCAAGCCATTCTGCAGGAAATATCTCGGTAGTTCAGATATCTCGAGATAAGTGATATAGCAGATCACTTATCAACACTTGGTGCTCTTCCATTCTTTATTTCGCTGATAGCTTTTGTAATTTNTTAGATACGTCAATATCGAGATAGATACGAAAATATGAAAATTTTATGAATTTGTTGCTCTTTCAAGTTATTAAAGGTAACACTTGGGAATCGGAGCATGCTATAAGAAAACTTTTATAACAAAAGTTGTAGCAAATTTTATTGTTAACATTACTGCTCTCTTGCACTTTTGCTCTTAGATACGCCAATATCGAGATAGATGCGAAAATATGAAAATTTTATGAATTTGTTGCTCTTTCAAACTATTAAAGGTAACACTTGGGAATAGGAGCATGCTACAGGAAATCTTTTATAACAAAAATTGTTGCAAATTTTATTGTTAGCAATATTGCTCTTTTGCACTTTTGCTGTTAGATACGTCAATATCGAGATAGATACGAAGATATGAAAATATTATGAATTTGTTGCTCTTTCAAGTTATTAAAGGTAACACTTGGGAATAGGAGCATGCTATAGGAAATCTTTTATAACAAAAATTGTTGCAAATTTTATTGTTAACAATATTACTCTCTTGAACTTTTGCTCTTAGATACGTCAATATCGAGATAGATACGAAAAAATGAAAATTTTATGAATTTGTTGCTTTTTCAAATTATTAAAGGTAACACTTGAGAATCGGAGCATGCTACAAGAAAACATTTATAACAAAAATTGTTGCAAATTTTATTGTTAACATTACTGCTCTCTTGCACTTTTGCTCTTAGATACGTCAATATCGAGATAGATACGAAAATATGAAAATTTTATGAATTTGTTGCTCTTTCAAGTTATTAAAGGTAACACTTGGGAATCGGAGCATGCTATAAGAAAACTTTTATAACAGAAGTTGTAGCAAATTTTATTGTTAACATTATTGCTCTCTTGCACTTTTGCTATTAGATGCGTCAATATCGAGATAGATACGAAAATATGAAAATTTTATGAATTTGTTGCTCTTTCAAGTTATTAAAGGTAACACACACTTGGGAATCGGAGCATGCTATAAGAAAACTTTTATAACAAAAGTTGTAGCAAATTTTATTGTTAACATTATTGCTCTCTTGCACTTTTGCTATTAGATGCGTCAATATCGTGACAGATACGAAAATATGAAAATGTGTCTTTGATATCTGATTTAGTTGTAACTTTGATTGCATATCAAAGATTNATTCACCAACTCTGTACAACCCAAACAGAGAATCTGCATCTTAAAATGTGTCTTTGATATATGATTTAGTTGTAACTTTGATTGCATATCAAAGATTCATCCATTTTTCACTATGTAGATCATAACTACGTCAAAGATCTATTTTCAAGATATCATGATGTATTTTAGATATTAGCAAAATAGTTTTGCAAGAGTCTCACATCTCTCTCCAATGAGGTTGTGTTGTTATACAAGGATTAAGTTGATTCATAATTGCGAAGAGGCGCCACACTGAGAGATCAAATTAATGGCAAAAGATACCGATAGCCATATCATGTATCATGTACAATTTGAAGAACTATGTGCTAAAGTGTGAATGTACCACATCTAGTCAAGTAACGACGTAAGGACAAAGGAAAATGAGTTGGGCACATTGCAAGTAGTACAACTCAGTATAGAGCGTTCTAAGTTGTACAATTTGACATCTTACAACAAAAGCATTGAATTCCAAATCGTTCATAGGCTTATTCTATGAATACTTAATAATTAATATCTACAATGTGATAGGATTACAATTACTATTTCCTTGTCATCAATGGCATGATGGCGATTCTGGTGAATAATAGGCTGTTATGGAAATCTCTTCATTGGCCACTGTCCCTCTCGTTTTATATATCTCATCTCGTTATACTTCTCATTTTTGGAATTGACGTTTTGTTGGTTTCTTTTTCAATTCTACTCCATGTCATTTTGGGTTTTAGATTTTAAGACTCTATGACCAAGCGTATTTATGTCTCTCCATAACGTGTGTTTAATCCATCCGTACTTTTTTAACTCGTGGCCAGACTATTTGGCAGGCTTGTTTTTTATGTCTTCAGTAACGAGCCACGTTTCGCGTCCATAAAGCAGAACTGATTTAACATCAACGTTGAAAACATGCAATTTAGTTTTTCCCTGGAATTTATCAGCGTAATCTAAAGCTGGTTAATCTAGATGCTGCAGTCCGAAAGGTTGCCTTTTTCGCTATTTTGACAATGATACGTTCAAGCCATTCTGTAGGAAATATCTCGGTAGTCCATATATCTCGAGATAAGTGATATAGCAGATCAGCAATAGCTTCATTACCAACCTTCAAAAATTTAACTGGTATTCTGTCAATACCTGGTGCTCTTCCATTCTTTATTTCGCTGATAGCTTTTGTAATTTCTTCTCTGGATGGATTTGTTGTTGTAATTATTCTATGTTCTCAGTTTTTTTTTATAATCTTGTCCTTTTTCATAAAAAATACACGAAATGTGTATTTAAATCAATAGATATATTTTTTTTTAATAAAATTTTATCTATTAGATTTATTATTGGAAATAACGATACGAGTATTTCAAGTTTAACTGATTATCTTTGTAAATACACGTTTTTACGTTATAACTATAGGTGATCTTATCAAGTTAAAATATTTATATAACTATCATTGATTGTGTACTTTTAGTAAAAACTTAAAGCATTTATTAAGTCACGTAAAAATTATAAGCCAAAACTAAACACAGGATGTCAACGTAGAAAAGGCATATGCCCATTCTTTATGTAGCACTTAGACTCCGTTTCCGGGTTATATGCTTCTGGTAACTAACATCTGTTCAACAGCTTTAAGAAGGTTCTTCGTTTTAGTAACAGCTTTAGATGTTTATTAGGGGGTTGATAAATTTACCCTTAATAAAGAAATTTTTTAAAAAAATTAACTAAAATAGAAATACGAAATTAAGTAAGAAATAAAAAGTGAATTTTGTGAAGTACTTTTTCTTTCGTTAGTAACTTGGTTTATAGTTGATTTTTGTAGACGACAGCTCTTATTAAATTTCCGTTAAGAACATAATTCGCTCTAAAAATAACTCGGCCACGTTCGTTCTCCTCATTGAATTCCCTATGTGGAGTTTTTAGACATTTTCATCAGTCGTTTCTCGTCGCGTTGGTAAATCGAAACAATAACTATGACATCAAAACAAGATAAAATCGTTATCCAGATAATATAAATCAAATTAAAATAACACCATATCTACAACATTTCGATATCAGAAAAAAAGTTATGCAGCAAAAAAACATAATAAAAATGAAACGAATCAAATTTCATCATATTCATTATATTTTAATTTCATAATTTTGTCGTTTCATGAAAATAATCCATTTTATTATTTCAATTTTATTTTGCGGACTACCGATAAGCAACTTCCTTTCGGTTTATTCGTTATCGTTTTATACATGTGCGCTTCCTCCTGATGGTTCTAGTGATCGTACTCTAGTAGTCGTCGTTGTCGCGTTTAAAACAGTGCGTGGTGTCTACGAATCGTCCGTCGAAATGTTTAAGACGAGACGATTTCGTATTGATTTTGAAGTGTTTGTTTTTATTTTTGCGATTTTATGCGTCAGATTTTATAGTTGCGCCACTGATATCGCTACAACTGAAACTGTGCCTTACACTGACACTACACAAGAAAGTAGTCAATTTGAGACTAGGACAACCCAATTTTTTAGTACAAACAGTGATTATGAACAAGATTTTGTGACTGAATCATCGACGGATGTTGAAACGTTTAGTTTATCTGGTAATGCAAGGGACTTTGTAACGGATACATTTAGTAGAGGAATAACACAAGATGAATCGACAACTGTGTTTACAACGGAAGAGATAACAATTCAATCTCCATGCCAAACTGGTAAATTTTTATTTATTTGTGTTTCTAAAAAATTATTTTTTATTAAATTTTTTATCAAATCAATATTAATGTCGAGTTTTATTAAAGTGAAGTATCACCCATTAATTTCTAAAAAAATACGAATTGATTGATTGAATAAATAAGAATTATCTGATTTTATTTAATACTATTTTTTGATTACGGCAGTGTTTGGTCTGCATATTAAAAATAATCAATTTGAGTGCAAATATAATTAATAAGATATTTAGATAGTTGATAATATTAGACTGTTCGTTTTAACGTTAATTAAAAAAGATAGTGGTTTATATCCTTAGTAAAGTAAATACCAACAATTTTTGGTTTTTAAGTCATAAATATTCATATCTTCTTTAAAACACGGTTTGGGACCATAACATTTTCAGGAATAACAGTAAAACGTCTCATAAAAGAAATAATTATTAGAAGTAACGTGGAGTCTGTATTAACCTGGCGTGTAAAGAAATGATTTAAACAATAAATTTTGACGGCTATTAATTGGACAGCGTTATACATCACTTGACTAAGCGACGTTTTATCGTTTTTAGAGATTTTCATGCTGCCTGGTAGGTAAAGGTGTATATACATATCTTAGAAAAAATGCAGAATACTGAAAGACCTAAAATACCATTTGTTTGAACCCTTTGTGTCCCGACGGTACTTTAAAGTACCGGTAGTTTTACACACTCATTTTAAAAAGAAACGTTATACGAAAATGTAAGTTTTGTTTCAACATTTTTTTTCTCGATATTTTTCCAATCCAACCCAACAATTATTATACATCATTTTAAAAAGAAAGCATTGAGCTTCAATTTAAAATAAGTCTCATTCCTTAATTTCAATAAACACAGATTCCAGGAATTTTTAAATTAGCATATTTTTTGACACTTTTAGATTATACGAAAATGTAAGTTTTGTTTCAACATTTTTTTTCTCAATATTTTTCCAATCCAACCCTACAATTATTATACATCATTTTAAAGAGAAAGCTTTGACCTTTAATTTAGAACAAGTCTCATTCCTTAATTTCAATAAATACGGCTTCCAGGAATTTTTAAATTAGCATCTTT